TAACTATGTGCTAAAGAACGAAAAAACCCAAGAGCCAGGAACAAAACTTATTTTATGGCAAGTATTTAAAACTCTAGCAGTTCTCTCCCCCATAGCAAAATTTCTTCTTTCAAGTCTGCTGTTTAATTCCTGGGTAGATTCCCCTTTCAATCAATGAGTTCTGACATAGATCAGGCAGTATTTTACAACATTAGGTGATAAGCCCAAACATGGAGTTCAGGGGTTGTTGTCTAGTTTATTATTCTTTCCCTTGGTTGCTGTTTAACTTATACATACATACTTACTGGAATGCTGCCAAATTTGTAGAGGGGAAAAAATCTATTTTCAGTCTTTTTGGGTGATCTATAAAGAGGGACTTTGTGGGAGCTGCTCCCTGATTTCATAGGCAGAATGCACGCCTGGGCAGCCATTTCACAGGTGAAGCACAGTGCCCCCGCTCCCCCAATTGGGCGTGGCCATCAGGGGCTGCTCGACCATCACCACAGATTGGCTGTGGGGGCTGTCTGTCATGTAGCCCCACCTCTCGCTGCCAATTAGTGAAGGGAACATGAGTCGTCAGTCTGACAAAACCATCAAAACGAACCGCACTTTATCATGTATCAGCAGATGCATGACAAACAGAACCAAGGATGTTATACTTCCCCTCTACGCTGCATTGGTCAGACCACAGTTGGTGTACTGCATCCAGTTTTGGGCGCCGTATTTCAAAAAGGATGTTGATAGACTTGAGAGGGTCCAGAGGAGGGCCACTTGTATGGTTAAGGGCTTACATGACAAGCCCTATGGACCTCTTCAGCCTCTGCAAGAGAAGGCTGAGAGATGATCTTGTGGCCGCCTACAAATTCATTAGGGGGACACAGCAAGGGATCAGAGATGCTCTGTTCACCAGGGCATCTCTTGGGGTAACAAGGAACAATGGTCACAAACTGACAGAGAGCAGATTTAGGCTAGATATCAGGAAAAACATCTTCACAGTAAGGATGGCCAAAATTTGGAATGGACTTCCAAGGGAGGTGGTGCTCTCCTCTACCTTGGGGGTCTTTAAGAGAAGGCTGGGCAGGCATCTGGCTGGGGTCATCTGACCCTAGCACTCTTTCCTGCCGTGGGCAGGGGGTCGGACTCAATCTGTCGAGGTCCCTTCTGACCCTAGCATCTATAAATCTATGGATGGAGTTACATAACAGGCAGCCCTCTCAGCCAATCAGCAGTGAGGGGCAAGGTGGCAGCCCCCCACACCCTCCAGTGAGCTGCTACAGCACTTGGTGCGACTCTACCCCTTCCCCCCCCCCAGTGGATTTTGTGGGCATTGCCAATTTCATGTAATCCACACAACTGCAAATTCAGTAGGCCCCTACCTATGAATCAAGTCTCTAAATTCTTTTCAGTCCAGAAGCTAAAAAAAAACTGGTTTGGAGCGCTAACAGTTTGCAAAGAGGTCATCCAATTTCACTACTTCTATTAAAGTGCCAAAATAATGAGTTAAACATGCTGATATATTTTTGTTAGTCACACCTCAAAACCAATTTACGTTAAAAAAAAGACAGACACAAGCATTGTGGAGGCTTAGGTAAGGATGAGATTTCTGCTGTGCACATGAATCAATCTCATTTTTAAAAGGGGACACACACCCAATCCTGCAGTCATTACACTTTAGACCAGGGGTTAATATTTTCAGGTTGTGGAGCCCTGCTTTAGATTATAGAACATTCATAAGAAGTCTAACAAAGCGTTCCACCAGCTACTGTTCTGCTGTATTTCATATGATGCAAGTCTGTGCAATGCTTTTTTTTTTTTTTTTTTTAACAGTGCTCTTAAAAACTGAACTCTGCCATAGCTAGGGCCAGAGAGAAAGATTCCATTGGAAAACTAATCTCTAGATTTGAAGATCTAGAGACAGGCTAAATGACAGCACTGTTACCAATACAGCACCCTTATGAGGGAGAGGATTGTTCTTGAAGCATTATCCAAATTGTTTTAGGGCAGCACACCAGTGTATGTAGATATACCATATTTGGTATGCTACTTGAAATTAGAGTATAGTTATTATAGATTATTCAGATATACTTCAAGTCACCTTATTTACCTCTCTGAAGCCAATGTACCAACTTGAAAGTTAATTATGTATGGCTTTAAAGATCAGTAGTGACACACTGAGTCACACCAGCAACAAAAAGGTACCATCACAGGTTTTAGGCTTGTAACACTACAAACATAAGCTGCTTTATTTTGCACCAGCAGCAGCTTGAGTCATCTTCAAGGATGGCCTCAAATAGAATGTGCCTTACAGTACCCTATACCTCTGACTTCAAGTTTAGCTTAATTATATCAGAGAGATGTAGGGAAAATGTACTACCAGAATTAACAACAGCTAGAGAATAAGCCCAATCCTTAAACTGAAAGCCCAATTCAACATATGGCACAAACATTCCTTCCATCCTCCTCCTATGCGTCTGGCATCATAATGTAAATCTCAAAGTCACTTTACTCAGCCCAAGGCAGTTTGCCTATAAACTATAAAGCAAAAGACACCACACTGCCTGCATACTAGCATAGATCTCCATGCTATAGCTGCATTAATACAAAAGCTACAACAGTAAAATTATCTCCCTCCAGAGACCTCATATACACTGAGTAGGAAGGATGACAAAAAAACAAAAAAAAAAACATGTGCAGCAGGGCACTGACAAAGAACAGAACCAGTAAAGTGTAATTCTATCCATCTGAGCAGCCTGGATCAGCAGACGAGTCCACACCTCATGGTCAGTGATATCAAAGCTGAAAACAGACCTGAAAGTACCAAACTGAATAGATAGTTGCACTAAAAGCAGGGGTAGGGAACCTACAGAATACATGCTGGAGCATGGCACACAAGCATTTTGCTTAACAGGTACACCTCACAGCAGATGCCAGTGGAGCCACAAGGAGTCCAATCTTTGTTCTGGCAGTGCAGCCCCAACCCCTTCCCTGCCATCTGCCTCAGGGTGCACATGAACCTGCCACTGGCAACAAGCAGCCCAGGCTTTGTGGCAGACAGCAGGGGTCTGCCCAGAGCCCAGGCTGGCTGTAGCAGGCACCTGGGAGGCTGCAAGTAGCTGCACCAGGGTCAACTGAGCCCTAGCCCAGCTTATCACTGGCAGTAGGTGCATGCACATTTGGTGTGGATGGTGGGGAAGGGGCCAGGGTTGCACTGCCACAAGAATCGAACCCCATGTGGCTCCCCCACCATCCACCCCTAGCATGCCAACATCTTACAGGTTGTACGGTTAGAAGGTAGGGGTGCACTGAAAGATTTTTTTCGGCCAATACTGATAGCCACTTTTTAACAAGCCATATTGGCTGATACCAATCCAATTGCTGATATGCAACCCGACAGCATGGAGAGCAGCATCTGACTGGTAAGTCTGTTGTGGGGGAAGGGGCAAGAAGGGAAGGAAGGAAGTGGGGGCAGATAGAGCCCCCTACAGTGAGGGAGTGGGGCTAGTGCTGGGGCAGACGCTGCACAGCCAGGGTGGGGCAAAGCTGTGGTTCATCTGGGGGCTACAGGGAGGCAGCTCCTTTCGCTGCACACAATGCCGGCAGGGCATGTGGGGCATGTGCCCCCCAGATATGCATGTTGGGAGATGGTGGGCTACAGCAAATTTTGGGGTGGCTGTAGCCCACCCCTATAGTCTCCCCTCCCAGCACCACCACTGGCGCAGCCCCAGCCCAACCCCCTCCACACTCCCCTGGGAAGATCCCAGCACCAGCCTGCAGCAGTAGCTTGTCCTCACCCCACGCACAGATTCAGCAGGCATGTGCCCCCCCTCCCCGTGCTCTTCCTGGGTGCATGCAATGGTGGGAGCTGCTGCCCTCCCTCCCCGGACAAGCCACTCAGCCCTAGCCCCACTCCCTCCCTCACTGCAAGGGCCTTGGTTTATCCCCCTATACCCCACAGTAGGCTTACCAGCCAGACACTGCTCTCCACACTGCCAGGCAGCACTACTGGCCACATGCATGCTGTGCCATGACTACACTCACGCACAAATCTTTTATCGACGACATTAAATCAGCCACATCAGCCAAAAAAAGCCAATTGTCGATAATGTAAATTTTCCTTATTTTGGTGCTGACAGGATATGGACCAATGTATCAGTGCACCTCTACTTAAATGTGTTTTTGGCACACTACCCAAAAATGTTGCTGACCCTTTCACTAAAGAGACTGATGTGCCCAGGCTGAAAACTCAACTGTCAAGGAGCAAGGAAGTCTGAGGATACAATGATATCAGCTGACTCACCTCCAAGTTGTCAAAAACAGCATTCTGAAGATTACTCTGAGCCTTCAACGGCATTCTTAAAGTATGAGTTTAGCCTTGCAAGACTTAAGTCAATTGTCATACTACTTTAAAGTCAAATAACCCAACAGTTCTAAATCAAAACATTTCTTAGCAATATAGGACTGCCCCATGGCTTTCTTCCAAATAAAAGTTGTATCATACTTTATAGATTAAGTCCTAAACAAGACAACATACATTTTAAAGTTATCCCTTACAGTTCTGTGGACTTTTTTTTTTAAGTAGCTAAATGCATATTCTTATGAACCTATGTACAAAAAGTAAAGGGACATTTTATGTTGAGCAGAATATTGCAGTTTGCAAGGCATTACATGTTCTATCAGTCCCTTTTATACACGAGCCCATTTTTTCTAACTGAGGTCATAAAATGTAACTATCTTCAAAGTTAGTGTGGTATACACGTTTTTTTAACATTAGGTTGTTCCTTTAGTCTGTCAAATCACTTTTGTCCATCACTACAAACACCACACCTTAAAAGCTACAAAGACATGCTTACGCTATAATGACAATGTCAAAACAGTCATTTGAAATACCTTTATCAAAGAGCTCAACTCAATTTGCATTCACCATTACTTTAAAAGTAAAAAAGAATACTTAAAGCAAGGTACCCATAAGTCAATAGAAACAACAACAAAACACTGAGAAAACTAAATATAGGAGAACCTACCTGGCTCAGAGCTACAGTACAGCTATGCATTAAAGTAGCTGACAAGATGACTTTTTGCGTGCTTTTCCAGGCACTGGAGTTTTTCTGTTAATTTGCCGCACAAGGTCATAAAAGATCTAAGAACACACACAAAAAGAGAGCTGCTGAAAGGGAGAAAAATAACCTGTATGTGCCTCATGCATTTACCCCACAGAAACATTTAATTTAGTATCAGAAACATGAAACTAATTATACCACTAGTACCTACTTGCTTTCTGAGTCAGATATACTGAATGATGCCAAGGTTCTTCCAGCCTAAAAATGAGGTGTATACATAACACTACATTTGGCATCCACAGCAGATACCGATGAGAAGTTTTCCGTATCAACACTTGGAATACCATGATAGAGCATGCACAATTTGTAATCGGGTGCTCATACCAAGACAGCCACGTACACTAGACAGAGCCAAAAGCATGTTTATACTTTTGTAGAATTACACCTAAAACAAGCCTTTTCCCTTGAAGAAAGTTCTAGTCTATTTGTTTTGTATGTTTTATCATTTTACATACACCTGAAAGTGGTTAAGGTTACACACTGGATACTGTTTATCAAAACTTCTGAGTCGCACTGGACCAGGATTTTGTCTTTTTTTTAATAAGTTACTTTTGATATCTAAGTACTATAATATATTGATTTTGTACAAAAAAAATTAAACATTAAATTGTTAGCACCTTCAGCAGTACATGACAACAGTAACAGCCCACAGCAAAAACACTTAAGGTTACCACACTCTGCCTTAACTCCTCTACATGAACTGTAAAAGGATGAGGATTTTCCAAGATCTTTAATTAAAGAGCAACTCAATAAGCTTCAAATACTACAATTAAATAGCTTCTGCTTCAATTAACATTCCCTCCCATCATGTCTCCTTTCAATCTCTGAATATTCTAAAAACAAGGAAATGCACTGGCTGCAGAAACACTAGTAGTTTTAGTCATTTTCCATATTAGCATATGCTACTTCTACAAAAGGAGTCTTTTAAATACATGAATAGAAATTCTATAAGCCATTAACTATATTGCTTTAACAGTTTACATAATGGAATTCTCTATTTGTTAATATACAGATGAATAGTCTCCAAAAAATCCAATGAGTCAAATGCTTGCATTTACTGATACATACTTTTAAAACCAGATATGCCTCAAGTCATTTATATTAACCAAACTGATAGCCACATTGTGGAGGGGCATTTCCTGTGGAATAACTGGCTAAGGTTAACCACACTCAATACAGGACTCCAAGTTAACCAACACTTCTGTTACAGTCACACATCAAAAACCCTTTTGAGAAAAGGCAAAAAAAAAACATTCTTTCCAACATTTTCAATACAGTATATTAACATAGTCCTTACACACTACACAGAATGCATTAATCAAGCAGAAATAAGGGATTAATACTCCAACACCATGTGTTTATGGTAACGAAGCTAGCTTTAAGTTATAACGAGACCTATCTGTTAGGCCTGTGCTAACAGGGAAGTATTTGATTTGGATTTGGCCAATATGGAGGACAGCGATTCAATTGGGAGATTCAGAATGCTGTCCTGAATCGATTCGGCTGAATCGGCTTTGGAAGATTCAGCAATTTGGATTAGCCGGGGAGTGGCAATTGGGACCTCTGGACACTGGTGGCAGAGCCCCCTTCCCCCACAGTGCAGGGCAGTGGGGATTGCCCCTCCCACCCCACTTGGCACCCACATGGCAGCTGCCCCATGGCATGGGTGCAGCACAGCTCGACAAGATGCTGCATGCTGTCTAGGAGCTGGGGTGGCTCCATGTGGCAGTGCTCAGCCCTAGTGGCCCCAACTCTCAGGCAGTGCACGGTGTCTTGCTGAGCTGTGCTGTACCCACGCCATGGGGCAGCTGTTACGTGGGTGCCAAGCAGGGGGACAAGGGCAATCCCCACTGCCCTGCGTTGTATTTGGGGGGGGGGGGGGGGGGGGGGGCC